TGTTTACTTACTACCAAATCCTAGCCTAGGGCTGTGCCCAACTCTGTCCTGATCTCTCATTTTTCTTTTCCCTGTGTGTCCCAAGAGTGGCCAGGTGAGAAGTCCCAGCAATCAGTGGGGGAGGTCTGGAGTAGAATCTATGGGGATTACTTTATTCTTTTATTTCTACTCAGAAAATAAAATTTTGTTTACCAAAACCTTCTCATGCCCACACTTTTGAAAGCAGGAGTCCAACTTGATTCAATGTGAAAGCTTGATTAAAATCCATAGCAAGCTATGGCTTAGTAGGGAAAAAATGGAAGATGTGATTTCTTACTTCCAGAAGCTCATAATGTATTGCAGATGTAAAATTTATTTCTCTAGTTATCTATCTAAAATAAATACACAGTTAGCAATGCATATTTCGAAATGTAAATTTTCTAGTCAGAAGTTAGCAGGATAATTTATACGTTTGGAGGAATGTTTTAGGAAAATGGAGTAGAGTATGGTGAAGTAGATGTGGTGAATTAGAGACAAAGACTTGTTTAGGAAATTACCCCACTAGATAGAAATGGACTTTCAAAAAAAAATATTTTTTAAAGATTTATTTATTTACACATACAGAACTGGGGCACAGGCGAGAGGGGCAAGGGCCGTAGGAGGCTTCACCAGAGACAGAGTGGGGAGCAGAACAGGCAGACTGATGAAGTACACTGCTGAGGGGAGCAGTAGGCAAGACAGGAGAGGTCTGCCATGCTATGTGGATCACCTCTGAGTACTAGTACTTGAACTAGTACTGAAGTGGCTGCGGCAAGCTTGCCGCGCTGAGTCCTAACCCACTGAGCCACCAGGGAGGGCCCTGAAAATATTTCAGACAGAAGTAATTGTGGCAGGATAAAAAGGAGCACAGGGGTGATGAGTGACCCATGAGTGTGATCACTGGCTGGAGGTTCAGTGTAAGATAGAATCATTTACTGTAGTAAGAAGGGCTGCTGAGTTTTGACAGACCTATGCTTCAGGAGAACACATTCAGGAGAACACAAGTAGGGTGGTCTCTGATGCTAAGTAGAGGGGATTTAATTTAATCAAGGGGCAAGCGGTGTGTTTTGCACACAGCAGATGTTCTCTAAGTGCTTGTTGTACCTAATGCGACTCACATCTGAATTTGTGAGGGTTTCATGGATCTTAAATTCCTCAAATGCCTTTTTCTCTTTTGCTGTTACTATATTCTGACATTCAGCTGTGTCTTGGATCTTCCCCAGGCTGCACATCTGTGCTTAAAAAGCCCCCAAATGTACAATACTTTCATCAAACTGTGAATGTGTCCTAGATAACCCAATAAGGATTAGGATTATAAAGCCTGAAATAGAGTTGTGTTAGCTTTATGTATCACTTCAGTGATTTGTGTAAGAATATTGGTTCTCAATAATTTTCAAATTGATGTTATGTCTAAAGCCAGCTGTTCGTAGCTCAAGTTTGTGGGTCTTAGAATAGTTTCTATGGGTTCTTTTGTCTCTGAAACTCACATCGTTCAGGACCTAGAGATTAGAATTTATGTCTTTAGAAATGGAGCAACACCTATTGGGTGTCAAAACAATAGGAGTAAACTTATCTGCTCAAGTTCAATTTTGTTTGACTGGTGCCTGTGGCGAGATCAGATGGAATATGAGATTGTTTCTAATTTAATTTATGTTTATATGGACCAAGAGGTCAAGGAATGTTATGGGAGAAATTAGTAGTGTTCTTGAACTCTCTCTCACACTCAAATGTATATTTAGAATTTGAGTGACTCCAAGAAGAAAATAAAAATTTGACTTCACATCTATAATAATATACATTTGAGTTAGCTACTACAATTTGAACAAACTTCATAAAGGGCAGAAATTGCTTGATTCCCATTGAGATAGTTTTCATCAACAAAGTGGGTCCCATACAAGATAGTAAAATATATACGTATAAGTATGTGTGTGTATATATTTACATATATATAAACATATATAATTGCATATACATATCTATAAATATGTGCATATACACATGTATACATGAAATTGTTATTATCACTTTGTTTACAATAAACCTTATTTCTGTGAACAATAAGATACTTAAACAATGTAGTTTACACAAGTCCCAATGATGAAATTAAAAAAAAAAGAAGTTTAAATAAAAAGCCAAGGGTGAAGGATTTGAGTGAAGTAGGGGAAGCCCTAATACACTACAGATACCTCCCTCAGGACCAAAATGCTCACTCTATGGGTGTCTAATGGTTGAAATAGTAGCCACTACAGTTTCATTTTCCACTTCTCTTACAGGAAATTATCTTAACCAATGGTACTTCCTCACTCAAAGTTAAGCCTCTGTCCCTGGGCTGTGCACATCATGGAGAGGTCATGACAGGGTGTAAGAGTTCAGCCTTTTGCCTCAAGCTGGAGCATCACTGAGTGCTCATTCAGCTCAAGAGCTTCCTGTGGGACTGGCTCCCACCCTTTGTATTCCAGTTTCCCTTCTCTTTCTGCTCAGTCTTCTTCCCTGATTCCTTGGTGGTGATCTCCCGACACACTGTAACAAACCTTCTGCTCACAGCCCCTGGTCAGAGTTTGTTTTCTCAAGGTTACCTAATCCAAAGGAAGGGAGAAAAGGAGTAGTCCTTACCATCATGCAAGTCAATAGGAATTTTGAATGATGGAAAGAAAATAGTGGGGGATTTTGGAAACTCATCTGGTTATGCCATCAGGGACAGCTTTCTTTCTTTTTGGAACACCATAAAAGAGAGATTGTTATTTTACACAGGTGGCTAAGAAAATCTTCTCTCATAAGAGCTGAGGAGAAATCTGGAGAAAGTGGAAGCAGGATCACTGGAAGAAGAGTGTAACAAGGAAAGGGAACATCAGGTACAAAGGCCACAAAGTGGGACCATGCTGGCATTCTCCAGGAAAAGCACAGCACTTCAGCCTAGTGCTGACTGGAGCAGAGAAGGTACAGAGGAGAACTTTGTGAAAAATAAGGTCAGAAATACAGGTATACTAGACATGCAGCATCTTACACTATCACACAACTTTGGATTTTGGTTGGAGTGAGATGGTGAGCTATTGGAGGAATTTTTATAGGGAATTGACCTAACCTGACATGTTTTAAAAGTATCAGCCTGGCTCATATTTGAGGTTGGATTTTTTAAAAATAATATAATAGTTTATTTTTACATCATTTTGTATATATTTTTTTCATCTCAATTGTAATCCCTATGGGTTACCCATCACCAAGTCACCCGTGTTCCATCACCATAGTCCAGTGCACTTCCCTCTCCCCACTGTTTTTGATCCCATTCCCCACTCCACCCCCATAAAATGTCTCTGGTATATGGCTGTTCATTATTATTATTATCTCGCCTAGTCCATTATACTCCTGCTATGAGCGAAACCATCCAGTATTTTTCTTTTTCTTTCTGGCTTATCTCACTAAGCATGATCTTTTCCAGCTTCATCCTTGTTGCTGCAAAAGGCATGTGTTTATTTATTTATTTATTTATTTTTTGGTTGCTGAGTAATATTTCACTGTGTATATGTACCACATCCTTTTAATCCAGTCACCGACTTTTGGGCATCTGGGCTGTCTTTGAGATTGGATTTTATGGGACAAAGATGAAAACTAATTAGGAGGATACAGCCATACCCAGGTGAGAGACTCTGCTGCTGAGGACTGATGTGGTAGAGAGAGAGAGGAGAAGTGTGTGCCCTCACCAGTCAACGTGCTGCTGACAGTGAGCCTCTGCAGTGTGGCCACAGGGGAGTTGATGGGCAGTGTCAAGGAGCAGATGAGAGCACTGGGAACTTGTGAAGCAGAGGAGTGGCCTTAGGTAGTAACAACTACAGTAAAAGGAGTGACATTAAATTCAATAGGGTGGTAGTATCAACTCATCAGTAGCCAATGTACAGATTGTACCTCAGATTTTTAAAAAAATGTATCCCTCAGAATATTAACAGAATCATAAGAGAAGTGGAAAATGCAACAGCAGTTTTCATCCATCAGGCTGGCAGAAACTGTGAACAGTTTGATAGCTCACAGCTAGTGGGATATAATTGGTATAGCCTGGAGAAGGGGAAATTTGGCAAATATTTATAAAATTTAAAATACAGACCCTCCTTGGTAGCACCAATTGTTAAGATGCAGCACTGCAAGTGAGCTGCAGCTGCTTCAGCCTGAGTTTGATCCCTGTCCTGTAGGTGACCCACGTGGCGCAGCAGACCTCTCCTGACCCACCCACTGCTCTCCTCAGCAGTGTACTTTGTTGATCTCTTGATCTGCCTGTTCTGCTCCCCACTCTGTTGCTGGTGAAGCCTCTTATCGACCTGCACCTCTGTACCCAGTTCTGTAGGCATAAATAAATAAATCTTTAAAAAAAATTTACAGGGCCCTCCCTGGTGGCACAGTGGGTTAAAAGCACAGCACTAAGAAGCTTAAGCCACTTCCACATGAGTTCGATCCCTGCCTGCCCCGGGAGATGATCCACATGTCGCGGCAGATCTCTCCTGACCCACCCGTTGCTCTCCTCAGCAGTGTACTTCCTCCATCTACCTGTTCTGCTCC